CTATGTGTCTAGTGTAGCTATTGAAGAATCACTTGATACCTCCTCAAGATCTTACACAGCAGGCTGAGAAAACTGAGGCTGTTCAGCCTGGAGAAGAGAAGCTGCGTAGAGACCTCAGAGCAGCTTCCAGTGTCTGAAGGGGGCTACAAGGATGCTGGAGAGGGACTCTTCATCAGGGACTGTAGTGATAGGACAAGGGGTGATGGGCTCAAACTGAAACAGGGGAAGTTCAGGTTGGATATAAGGAAGAAGTTCTTTACTGTGAGGTTGCTGAGGCGCTGGCACAGGGTGCCCAGAGAAGCTGTGGCTGCCCCATCCCTGGCAGTGTTCAAGGCCAGGTTGGACAGGGCTTCGAGCAACCTGGTCTAGTGGAAGGTGGCCCTGCCCGTGGCAGGGGTTGGAACTGGATAAGCTTTAAGGTCCCTTCCAGCCCAAACTCTTCTATGTTCTTATACAATAGCCTTACTGAAACTTCATTGCTTTAAGTGAGCAAGAAAAAAAGAAAACCCAAACCAATGTATTTGAGTTTAGATCGTGCAAACAAAGGAAGTAAATTCTAAGAGCACTGATTTTTTTTTTTTTTCCCCATCTGTTATTTGTTGTTTATGTTTTGAAGAGCAGATTTCATGAACTAAGTTGCTGAGTAATACCTGCAAAGATGGGTGGTAGACAAGAAGACTCTTCAAACCAGTTTGGTTTTGAGTTTTCTACCCTACTTTTTCAGAACTATAGAGGATATTGGATTATGTTAAATCTCCAGAACGCAAAAACTCTTTTCATTTCTGGGGATGACACTGCATATAAACTGGTATTTCAGTTTGACATTGGAAGAGCTACAGACAATATAAAGCTTGAGGGAGCCTTGGTACTAAATAAATATGAATGTTGTGTTGCTTCTGGTTCATCTGGCTAAAGAATTTGGAATTTGCTACGTTCTCTCTGCAAAAGACACTCGGCTGAGTCAAGTGAGAGTATTAATGTGAGTGAACTTAAAATGCATTTGCCCTTGAGTTTATAAAGCAAATACATACCTTCTGCTTTAGAGAATCAGTGAAGGAATCTCTCCATGAAGAAGTAAAGGTAAACCCATTGTCAGTGCACTAGTGATGCAACAGCTAAGAGGAAGAAATGGAGACAGTATAAACATTATTTGTGAGCCCACAGAAATCTCCACCCAGTCAGAGCTTTGTCCTTAGAGAATAAGAATAGGAAAAACGCTTCAGTTCACCATGTTTCTTAGGGTACAGTCTCTCAGTAGAAACCCCAGAGTTGTATACAAGTGCCGTTTAACAAACTTAACCACCTCTTTTCAGTTAGAAAATCAGCACTTGAAATACGCTGGGTTAATGAGATAACATATACAGCCTTGATTTTTTCTTATCAGTCACACAAACCTGTTTTGAAACTTTAGGGGAAACATTGGTTGAATGGTAGACTATGATAAATTTGACTTAAATTAATTCCACATTGAAATGAAGTTAGAATAGTGTTCATTGCATTCCTGTGCCCTGTCTTCTATGTGAAATGGGCTGTAGATCCCAGTGGAACTGAAGCATATCAAACACACATTTACAGTTGTTTATGTTTGTGAGGCTTACACCCTCGGCATGTGGTGGCATCTGGCTTAAGATGTGCAGGGAATGGCATCACTCAGAAGCAGCTCATTGACAATTTGAAAGAAGGGCAAGGGAGGAAGAAAGAAATCAGGGTTCTTTGACCCGTAATAAAAATCCATTTCCTAGGATCAAAAACGGTTGGAAGCTGTGTTAATAAATTTCAGCACAAGTTACCACTAAGGCCTTGCTGATCTTCCTAAATACTACGTACAGTGTACTGCTGAATCATTTCAGGGTTCTGCTCAGGGGGAAGAAATAACGGAATGCAATGGAAAATTGCATAGATCATAACTTTGAGAGATAGAGATGCCCCTATTAGGAATAAGAATTTTGCTGACTGGATATGGACCCTTGGCAGAAGCAGCTTGAATACTGGAGTATGGGGAGACTGTGTTGTTAGGGAGAAATGGGTGCTCTGACTTGGGGCACAGGGAGGATGTGGTTGTGGATGTGATCTGGACTGTGTGTTCAGAGAGCACATGGAGCCAGGACAGCTGTGTCTGTTTTGGGGAGGGTATTTGTGGGTGGGTGCTTTTTTATACCCTTTACCTTCACACAGTTGTGCATTCTCTGTAGACTTGCATGGTAGCTGGCCATCTAAATTCATGTTCTATTAAATACAATGTAATACAGAAATGGTCCTTTGGTTCTGAAGTTGTATAAATTTGCAAGATTATAAAAGCGTGGTTGCTTGGTGAATACGTTAGTCCTTAAAAAATGCTAAGTTTACCAAAACTTAGACCTCTTCCATCTCTTTGCTCTGATTTCCAGTATACTTGGCATGGTCTAGTAATGGCCTGTAACAGATACATCAACTCTGTCCGTACAGATGGTGCAGACAAGTAAAGAAACAGGGTACATGACTGCCACACAATGCAATCCAGCACGTTCCTTTTTCTGAGTGTAATGTTAGTGAGCTCATGTTGTACCAGAACCATATTCACATACTCTGTGTGCACATCCTTACCTCACTAAACAGAAACAGTGCTGTGTACACTAAATTAAATGGCCCCCTTTGCCCCCTTGAATAGCTGTTCTGTCTGATACATAAGGTATCATCTTAGTGATGGATATACAAGAGTGTAGCATTAGTGGGTAGCTGCTCTGCTTCTCATGTCTTTGCTGGTAGCTTTAATGGATATAGATTCTGCTGGGCTGCTTTGACACAACTGCAATGAGGTGTGCTGACCACAGTCTCGCAGTGTATGTGTGAACATCTCTGGTTGCCAACAGTATGAAAGATGGCTGGGCTTTAATCAGATTTACTTTTGAAGTAATCAGAATTGCACACCTGCTAAACTCTGCCAGCTAAACCCTCCATCATCACCTGATGCAATGAATGCAGCTAGAATAAGTAAGTACTACTGACCATCGCCAGTTATGCACAGGAGGGATCAGTTACAGATGCCTTGGGTGGGAAACTGGCTTTCCTGGCTTTCAGAGGTGTGAATTTTCACCAACTTGGAGGACCTAAGGTCCCAACTGCAATAGTCTTACGGTGGATAAACAGAAATAAACCAGTGAATTAAGCTAAATGGATTTAAAGGAGAAGAAATCTTGGTTTTAAGATAAAGTAACACAAGGTAATTTAAAAGAGAGCGAATGAGTGGATGAAAGCGCTGATGTTACACCACTACTTTCTTTCACAGTAAAACAATGTTAACTCTGTCAGAGCATGGTCAGTGAGAATGGAGGAAGCAAACCTGTGGCGAAATACAAATAGAAGATGATGCACTGCCATTGATGGGCTGGGGAAGTCTGTGGTGATTGTTTCAGATCAGCTGTGTGTAACACCCAGAGGAGTGGTGTAATGCAGTAACTCATCTCAGGGAGGATTGTGTCTAATTTTATGGTGGTGTGAACACTGTTGTGTAGGTGGAAGAGTTGAATTATGCTCCTGAAAACTTCAGGACTTTGAGTTCCCCAAGCTGGATCTATTTGCAGGATGTCGCCTGTTTGCTTTACTTTAAGGTTTGCCAACATTCCCCTATCGTTGCCTTCACAGGAATAGAGGAAGTATTTAAAGAAGGGATAGAGTGGTAAACAGCATCAGCCCTGATGCTTCTCCCCAGTTAATCTTTACTGAACAAGAGCACCCCTGTTTTTAGTTAATCTTTACTGGACAAGAGCACCTACATTTTACACTGGAGAACAGCACCCAAATTCTGTGCTGGTACAATACAGATTATTTCTGTTGACTTTACACAAGCATGCAAGCAAGCGTGCGTGCAGAGCCCTTTCCAAAGTGTGTGCTTCAGTGCTTTGGGAGCCCTGTCTATATGTGGCTGGCTTTCTGGTTCATAAAGATGTTGTTTTGGGGGTGGTTTTAATGTCAGTTTCAGTAATGCTCGGTTTACATTAAGAACTGCTTGGGTTTGAAAGTTATATTAAAACCCACCCCCACTTCTTTCCAGTACAAACAAACCCCCTAAAGATATGAAGCCTTAAAAGAAGCTGATGAGCTTTCTACGAGGAACCAGGGAGAGGTGAAGTCACAAGCAGTCTGAGGGCCCATGGAAAGAGTTATAGTAACAGGTTGGTTGGTGAAAGAAAGAGCAGAAACATGGAACTAAATACTTTGTTATTGGAGCTCTGCCTTATCAAAAAGCAGATTTTGGGGGGTTTTCCTGTTGTCATCTACAATATACTCTATGTTACTTCCTCTCTAAAATGAATTCCTCTGGTAGATACATGTTCAACCATCATTGACTTAATCTCATCTTTTGTTTATTTTTTTTGTATTGTTTTTGTTTGTTTAAATACAGGCTCCTGATGTGTTCAAGCTGAGGCTGTTATGTATAACTTTATTTCATAACTTTAACTGAATTTTACAGACCTGACAACATAGGGTGTCATTTTTGGCCATTTTAAGGTGTACATTATTCAATAGTAAGTAGATTTTGTAATTTGCTACATTAACAGCACTCTAAATTTGTATTTAATAAAATGTCCTCATTGTATCTTGTACTTTGCTAAGCATTCATGTTTTATTTAGAGCTGGGAATTGAACGCATATTCAACTAAGAAAGGCTGATGGAAGAGAATTCAGCTCTATTTCCTCCTAATCAAAGATCAATCATACACTCTATAGTTTTCCTTCCTGCTTCCTTAAAGTAGTTGGGACCATAATTGGTTTGATATTTAAAGTAATTGAGGAAATGCAGACCAGTTCATCATAGACAGCAGGGCAGGTTCACAAAACATGAGTACTCACATGTGAGTTAATACTCACATGACCAACTGCTCTACATCAAGGTGATGGACCTGTGCATACACTAAAGTATAGACCTGTCCTTGTGGTCAAAGGCAAAATGATGTAACAAACGGCATGTGCTGAGAATTCAGAAGAGTGCAGTTGTTAATTCCTTCCCCAATTTTCTTCAGGCTCTCTTCTCCGAAACCATGCCAGAGATGACAGAGAATGAGACACCTACCAAGAAGCAACACCGGTGAGTTGTACTTCTGTACTCTGTGGTCGTGTCACAGGTGTGAAGTTTCTAGCTAAGAGTTTGCAATTGGGTATTGACAAGCAGTTCTGAGGGTTGACCAGGGTCATTATACCGTTTCCAGGTTTTTGTTCTTTTGTAGTAGCACACTGATCTAATACCTGATTGGTAGGGGAATCCTTCAGTCCCTGGTTAAATAGAGCATTCATCCTGTGCTAGGTACCCATGTAGGATCTGATTTATGATTGGAGAGAACATTGATTTGTCCTACAGATACTTTTTCAGTATTCGTGGATTTTGGGACTCTTTCTTACCCCACTAAATAGTGGGGTTTTTTGTATTCTGTATTGGTAGTGAGAATCAAAGGGCAACTGGGTGTCTCCATGAATTATTATTAGAAACTATTTAATACTAATGTCTAAGACCAGTCCTTGTGAGTGTGACTTCTGCTACATCCTTATTCACAGAGCAGAATATAATATTTAGTATTTTTACCTGTAAATAAAATAATAAGAGAAGTATTTGTTTGTATACAGATTTCTTTTCCTTTCTGTTTCACATCACTGCTTTCCCTTTGTGTTTCACAGAAAGAAAAACCGGGAAACACATAATGCAGGTAGGAACATTATGCTTTGTTGTTTGGTCTGGAAATAAGCACTGATGCTTTGAACTACTAAAACAGATCCTGCATGGAGAAGGTTCCTCTGAAGGAGTTTACTGCATTTAAAACCCCACCCTTCCAAACACTTTCTGTGTCCTTGCATATCTGTGTAGAAGGGCATCTTGGTTGTTTGCTGTTTTCCATAGTACAGGGTTGCAGTAGCACACCCAAGTATGAAAGCAGGACCATCCCACTGGCTTACCAATGCTAGTGAAGTAAGAATTAAACAATTTCAGTTGTATTTAATTCTAAAGGGAAATAAATGCACAGCATTCACACGGTAATGTGTGAAAAAACAGAGACAGATACCTGACCTGAGAGCTTCACGGGTTCCCTGTATTAGAAATATTCCTGTAACCTGTCCCTGAGGCACCCATCTGGATGTTGGCATCCCAGAAATTCTGTACACATACTGGCTGTATGTTGTAGGAGTTGCATCCCTCAGGCTGAGTCCTATAAAACTCAGTTTGAAAGCAGTATCAAAACCTGACTTCTGAGAGGTAGTAACAAGTCCTTTCCACAAAGGAGTCCAGAACATCCCCACCTGTTAAAGGTATTGCTGCTTATGTTTACAGCTCTTCATTCAGTATGTGAGGTTTACTTTAGAGGAATTTTTTTCCCCTCTCAAGTTACTGAGGGTTCCAGTATACCATGAAATAACGTATTTATGAGTCTTTACACTGGTACTAGTTGGGCTGCTGTTGTGGTGACTTGCCCAAGCAGATGACACAGCATGTGTTGGTTTTGCTTAGTGGAGAGACATCGAAAGAAGAAGATTAATGCTGGGATAAACAGAATCGGAGAACTCATTCCCTGCTCTCCAGCACTTAAGCAGGTGAGTGTCCATTCGGAGGTGTGTACAAGTTTCCTGTAAAATGCTTGTGTGTTTCCTTGTGCAAGGAAGTATAGTTACTTTGCTGTTTGTCTTAGGGTGAAGGCAAAACTGTGCGAATTCATATGCTCCAAAATCTTACTAGTATTTAAAAATTATTTGTAATAGAATTCCTTTTAGCAATTAAGAAGTGAACAAGAGGTTTTGCAGGCAAAGCAGTTTCATAAAGGGAAGATGATGAAGGGGTTATGGCATGTTTTCTTTTAACATATTCTTCAGTATATTACTTTCAAAGTTATGCATACACCTTCCTGGATAATTGTTCCTTGTTTGTTTCTTTCCTAAGAAAATATTTCCAAAGCGATATCCTGGAAATTTCATGATGTATATGTTTGTTTGTGAACACAAATTTCAGGCTGCTCAGCAAGAAATGATGCTTGTTGTTTGGGTTCCATTGCCTTAGTAGCTACCGTTGGGTGTTGGAAAATGTCAGCTCCAGCACTGAAAATGTTATTCTGTAAAAGCTCATGGCATTGGGGTCAGTAGTATCAATGGATCTACCAACTACAGACCTTTCTCCTAATTTTATCTGCATGTTTTCTTTCAAAGAGCAAGAACATGATCCTGGATCAGGCCTTTAAGTATATAACAGAAATGAAAAGACAGAATGATGAACTTCTGTTAAACGGAGGGAACAATGAACAGGGTAAGTACAGATGCTGCTGGAGGCTCTAGAATTTCTATCACTTGCTTCCAGTGTGTGTCTGTTCGTACGGACTAACAGCAAAGCCTGGATCAACACGCTTGGGAATTCCAAGACGTTGTGCACATACAGGAAAAACACAGTTGTTTAGAATATCCTGAAACAAGAAGCCAGCAAAATGCCCAAGTGTGTGTTCTTGTACATAGCTGAGAGAATATGGAGCAATTGTGTTGTGATGTAATTACAGAGCTTAGAGGTGATTCAGCATTATCTAGTAGATTCCATCCTGATTTAGTCTGCTGTAGTGACCAGAATGATTTCTGACAAACTTTAGTGAGATTTTTTTCCATCAAAACAGTGGAGTTTGTCATGCATAGAGCCATTTTTTTCCCTTTTAGATGCTGTAAATGATAACAGCCTATTTAATAAAAATGCATCATCTCAAACCTTCTTGAACAGATGCATACAAATATTGTGATGGAGGTATGACAGAAATAATGTCAGAGCTCATTTGCAGTTTGTGAGTTTTATTTCTACCCACAGAATGGAGTTCTTGATAGTTTATTTTTATCTTGGTGGTGTAATTTGGCTTGAAAAACCTAGGTGATTTTTCTAGTTAGGTGAGCTGTCTCCAAGTGCATTGCTAGGGTTTGTGGCTGAACGTAAGTGCTTTGTATTTAATTCTGATTATCATTTTTAGAAGTAATGAAACTTAATTGTCCTGCAAAACCACGAGATTATCAATTATATACAAATGGTTTTAGTGTTTGCAGAGGAGCAGGGGAGAGAGCAAGTTAAATTAATGTGCTCATCTTTCAGTAATTAAACAATTTAATGAGTGTTCAGTTTCATCTGAGTTTGTCCTGATGGTGTTTAATAACTAAATAGTTTGATATGTCTTGCTGTTGGCAATGGGATAGTGTATGAAGTTCATTCACTTTCCCACTTAAGTAAAGAGGCTTATCAGGATAAGAGTCTTCATTTTCATTATGTTACCCATTTGAAGAGGTCATACATAATTAACAACTTATTTCAATACTGCATAGCATTTACTGTGCAAGTCATGCGGTAATGTTACCTAGTATTTGCTCTGGTGCTGATGTAATGGAGTGCTCTCACTGTTTTGTAGCTGAAGAGATAAAGAAACTCCGAAAACAGCTGGATGAACTGCAAAAGGAGAACGGGAGATACATCGAGCTACTGAAAGCAAATGATATTTGCCTGTATGATGACCCTACAATCCACTGGAAGGGGAATCTCAAAAATGCCAAGGTCTCGGTTGTTATTCCCAGCGATCATGTTCAAAAGAACATCATTGTCTATTCAAATGGGAGTCAACCCAATGGAAATAACCAGGGAGCATCTGTCCAGGGAATAACATTTAATGTTGGTCATAATTTACAGAAGCAAACAGCCAATGTTGTGCCAGTCCAGAGAACTTGCAACCTAGTGACTCCTGTGACGATTTCTGGTATTTACCCCACAGAAAACAAGCCATGGCCACAAACTACAGTTTCTCCGGTGGCATCTGCTCAGACAGCTCCAGCAGGGAATGTTCTTGAGCTTTCCACCCCAGAGAATGAGCAAGGCGTGCTTACCACTGCTACCGCTGGCTCGCAGAGCGCATCTCGATCTGGAACAGAACAGGAACTCCAGTGTTCTTCAGGTAATGCACTACAGAATGATCAAAACCATCCCAAAGGTAAAACTGATGAGGAGGGCACTAAATTAACTAAGAAAACAGTCCTCCAGGGAATCAGCCTTCCTTCCAGTGCCTCCACGGAAGCCTCCAAAGTTCAACAAGTGAATGCAGCTTGCTCAGATGCACAGAATTCTAGGAGTGACCTTCAGGAAAGCTGTGTCGTTTCAACCACAGACACAGCTGGTGTGCCATCTGTGAGACTGTCTGCTGCAGATAGTTCTTCCTCTGTAAATGTCCTCAAAAGTACAGACTTAGTAAGTAGTGCTGGGATGCCTGTGACTTCTGCAGCAGAAGGAGTTAAGGCTGCGACGGCAATAAGCACTCTGCCTGCCGTTTCCCTGGAGAACTGCTGGTCTTTTTCAGGCTCTTCAGGTGTTGGCACTTCGGACTTGAAAAACATGAGTAGCCTTACACGGATGCCTTCAGCTGGAAACACACAGACCACATGGACAACTTTGCAGCTAGCAGGAAATACTGTTCAGCCACTAAGCCAAACACCATCTGGTATAATGACTGCAGTATTAAACGAGCCAGTTAATGGTGCTGGTACTGTACCTTCTGCTCACAGCAGGCCTTTGACTGCGAGTATCAGTTTGAATACTTCTCTGCCTGGGGATGGCCAGGCAGCTGAACAGATTGTAGTTACCTTGCCCTCGTGCCCATCTTTACCTATGCAGCCATTAATCAGCCAGCCACAGGTTAAAACTCAGGCTGCAGGAAATCTCCTTCCATTAAATTCAGCTATGCAGGTGATTCAGATGGCTCAGCCAGTTGCAGCAGCGGTTACAGGAGCACCGGCTAACCAGAATGTCATCATTCTCCAGCCTCCAAACCCCACTCCATGCCCTCCGATTGTGAGAGCGGAAGTTCCCAGCCAAACTGTTAGTCAGCAAATTGTGATTATACAAGCTGCTAACCAGAATCCTCTTCCCCTCCTCTCTGCTCAGCCCTCTGCTTCTGTGAGAGTTCCCATGAATGGGCCAACTGCAATTGCAAACTCCAGCAGCTCCATCCAAAATGTGTCACTTCCACAGACTTTCGGAGGGAAACACCTTGTCCATATATTGCCAAGACCATCTTCTTTACCATCTTCTAGCTCTACGCAAACGTTTTCAGTTACAATGTCCAATCAACAACATCCTCAAACTATCTCATTAAACGGGCAGCTTTTTGCATTGCAGCCTGTGATGTCTTCATCTGGAGCTTCCAATCAAGCCCCTATGCAAATTATTCAACCCACCACCAGCGAAGATCCAAATACCAATGTTGCCCTCAATACGTTTGGTGCTTTAGCTAACCTCAATCAGAGCATATCACAAATGGCTGGACAGAGCTGCTTACACTTGTCTCTCAACCATCCTTCCAATCCCACAACTGTCAGTAACCAGATTGCCACAGTTAACTGCGTGTCATTGCCAGCTTCTGTGGCAACTTCAGTACCTGCGGAGGTTTCGGTATTAACTACTGTGTCCAGTTCAATAAATGCTTCCCCCAAAAAAGCGGCTGGTGGCTTGCCAGCCAATGCAAAGTCCAGAAGGACAAACAAAAAGCCAAGTACGAAGAAACACCAAGCGGTTATCAGTAAAGTGTCCTGCCCAGCAGTTCCTTGCAAAGACGCAGGGAAGGTGGACTGTACCGCTGTGGAAACGGTGGCAAAGCATTCAAATGGCGAGGGGCTGCTTGAAACCGCTCCAGCAGCAGCAGAAGCTTTAACGACATCGCAGGCGAGTGGTACGGCAGCATCGAGTGGTGCCAGTGCTCCTGACTCTCCTTCCAAAGACACTGCACACTCTGAGCAGGCAGCGAAAACCTGCCCTGCCCCTGAGCTGAGCTCTGCAGAGGCACCCACTTCCTCGCTGCTGGAGTCCGTGGTGTCAGAGCAGCTGCCCCAGGTCCCACCAGCTGCCAAAGATGCTCTGCACCAGCAGGCCCAAGGATCTCCGAACCATCCATCAACCAGCTCTGCCTCATCGGAGTCTTCCAGACCCTGTGACCCCCCCAGCACCTTAACGTCCTCGCCTACTGAAGCACAGCCCCAGGTTGCTGGGCCGTCAGCAGCACAGAGCAGCACAGCAGGTCATCCTTCCAAGGCAGGAACGGTTTCAGAGCCCTGCAGCGTTGCGCAGGATTCCTCAGCTGTGATGCAAGATGCAGACTTGCTGGAAGGACAGGGTCTAACGAAAATGCTGTCTGATCTCACAAAAGAAAGAACAACTGTGGAAAAAAACTCTTCGTTTGCCATTCAGGGGGAGCATTCTGATTTTCCCGTGAAAAACTCTAAATCAGCAGAAGCAAATGTGGATTTGCCTGACAAGCAGGAACTCTTGCTAATGAGCACGGAAGGTGATGCTCTCTCCCAGCATCACTCCTGCATTTCTGATCAGGAAGTGGTCAGTGCTTCCCTTATCGCTAGCAGGCAGGCAGACTCCCCCATGTCAACTAGCTCTGGCAGCAGTCGAGGCTTCTCAGTTGCATCTATGCTGCCAGATACCACCAGAGAAGACATCACTAGCAGCACTTCAACCAGTACATGTAATAGCTGCACATTTTCAGAACAGACTGACATTGTAGCTCTTGCAGCAAGAGCTATTTTTGACCAGGAAAACCTTGAGAAAGGTGGCGGAGGAATACAGGTTAACGTGAGGGATGCCATCTCAAAGTCAACTGAGGTTGCACCTTTGGAGAGAGAACAACAGCCTTTTAAACCTCAGCCAGTGAAAGAAAACAATGCTGGGCCATTGGAAGCAGCACCAAACAAATTCAGTGCTAAAGATACAGTCCAGACAAATGCTGATAGACAGGTTGAGAATCCAAGCTGCTCTGTAGGAGGTGTGGAAGCATCAAACACTTCTCTGCAGATTTCCTCTTCCCAGGCACCAAGCCTAACCAGTTTAAGCGTGAATAATCTAATACACCAGAGTCGCATTGTCCATCCCCTTGTGAGCTGCTCAAGTTTATCCCAGTCTTCAGAGCCAGCAATAGTCCCTTCAACTGTGAACCTCTCCCTTCCATCTAGCACGTATGTCAATCAGTCTCCAGGACCCGCTATGATGAGTGAATATGCTCAGGAACAACTGAATGCTATTAGGGCAAGCACCATGCAGGCTTCCCAGCTGCAGGAATCACACTTAAAGCAGCAAAATCATGAAGGTCGCAAAGACTCTGCCAAGCGGGCTGTTCAAGACGACCTTCTGCTTTCAACAGCAAAGAGGCAAAAGCAGTGCCAGACAACACCCATAAGGCTTGAAGGGATGGCGTTGATGAACCGAACACCAGAGAGTATTGCTGATCAGACACAGATGCTGGTCAGTCAGGTTCCCCCTAATTCATCCAATTCGGTGGTACCAGTGAGCAATCAAGGGCATACTGATGGCCTTAATAGGTTGTTCCCACCCAACAGCAACTTCGTGACAGCAGCTCTGAGGCAAACTGAAGTTCAGTGCAGTTCTCAGCCGTCAATTTCAGAGCAGCAAGGCCAGGCAGGGCAGCACTTGCAGCCAATTCAACACGCTCCTGCTCAAGGCATATCTCACCTTCACAGTAATCACCCATACTTAAAGCAACAGCAGGCTGGTCAGTTAAGGGAAAGGCACCACTTGTATCAGCTGCAGCATCATGTTACACATGGGGAAAACTCAGTCCACTCTCAACCCCACGGTGTCCACCAACAGCGAACAATGCAGCAGGAGGTGCAGATGCAAAAGAAGCGAAATCTCATCCAGGGAACGCAAGCCACACAACTTTCTCTACAGCAAAAACACCACGGAAGTGACCAGGCACGGCAAAAAGGTGGTCAGCCTCATCCTCACCACCAGCAGATGCAGCAGCAGATGCAGCAGCACTTTGGAGCTTCCCAGCCTGAAAAGAACTGTGAAAATCCTGCAACAAGCAGGAACCACCATAACCACCCTCAGAGCCATATAAATCAGGATATTATGCATCAACAGCAACAGGATGTTAGCAGCAGGCCGCAAGGTTCAGGTTCTGAACACGTGTCAGGACACAGTCAGATGCAAAGGCTGATGACTTCAAGGGGCTTAGAGCAGCAAATGGTGTCCCAGGCAAGTATCGTAACCAGACCGTCAGATATGACATGCACCCCTCACAGGCAGGAAAGAAACAGAGTTTCCAGCTACTCTGCTGAGGCACTCATTGGGAAGACACCCTCAAATTCAGAACAGAGAATAGGAATATCTCTCCAAGGCCCTCGCGTTCCTGACCAGCTTGAAATGAGGAGCTATCTTGATGTTTCTAGGAATAAAGGGTTGGTGATTCATAATATGCAGGGCCGCTTACCTGTCGACCATACAGTTGGCTCAGACGTGCAGCGGCTTTCTGATTGTCAGACGTTTAAGTCAGCTGGACCAAACCAACAACCAACAGGCAACTTTGATGTACAGGCTTCAAGAAACAGTGAAATTGGTAACTCTGTGTCATCCCTCAGGGGCATGCAGTCCCAGGCGTTTCGGATCAGTCAAAACACTGGGCCGTCCATAGAGAGGCAGAAAAGATTGCCCTACCAGCCAGTGCAGGGTATTCCCACAGGAAATACCCTGCCATCAAGGGAAAATGAAAACACGTGCCACCAAACCTTTATGCAGAGTTTACTTGCCCCTCACCTTGGAGATCAAGTTAGTGGAAGCCAAAGATCGATCCCAGAACATCAAAGGAACACGCAGTGTGGTGCCTCCTCCACAATCGAATACAACTGTCCCCCGGCACGAGAGAGTGTACACATCCGAAGAGATGGTGATGCTCAGAGCAGGGAGAGCTGCGACATGTCTATTGGTGCAATTAACACAAGGAACAGTTCTTTGAGTATTCCTTTTTCAACTTCCTCGTCCTCGGGAGATATTCAGGGTCGCAATACAAGCCCAAACATCTCTGTGCAGAAGTCCAATCCCATGAGGATGACGGACAGTCATGGAACTAAGAGCCACATGAATACACCTGTTTCTAGCAACATGCACGGGGTTGTGAGGCCGACTCACCCTCACCCTGCAGTTTCTCATGGGAACGGCGAGCAAGGGCAACCTTCTGTTCGCCAGCCAAATTCTTCAGTGACTCAGCGCTCGAGGCATCCTCTGCAAGATAACGGAGGTTCTAAAATACGTCAGCCCGAAAGGAATCGATCCGGAAATCAAAGACATGGGAATGTCTTTGACCCTAGTCTTCCGCACCTTCCCCTGTCCACCAGCAGCAGTATGATCCTTGGGCGCCAGCAGTCTGCCATAGAAAAAAGAGGCAGCATTGTCCGATTTATGTCTGATGGCCCTCAAGTGTCTAACGACAACGCAGCCCCTGACCAACATACTCTTTCTCAGAATTTTGGGTTCCCTTTTATTCCGGAGGGCGGCATGAATCCACCAATAAATGCCAACGCCTCTTTCATCCCACCAGTCACTCAGCCCAGTGCCACTCGAACTCCGGCTCTCATCCCGGTTGATCCTCAGAATACTCTGCCGTCCTTCTATCCACCTTACTCTCCTGCCCATCCTACCCTTTCCAATGACATTTCTATCCCTTACTTTCCCAACCAAATGTTTCCTAACCCAACCACCGAGAAGCCGAGCAGTGGAAGTTTAAACAATCGATTCGGATCCATTTTGTCTCCTCCCAGGCCTGTTGGTTTTGCTCAGCCCAGTTTTCCTTTGCTCCCGGATATGCCACCGATGCACATGACCAACACCTCGCACTTATCCAATTTTAACTTAACATCTCTGTTTCCAGAAATAGCCACAGCTCTTCCTCCGGATGGTTCAGCAATGTCGCCTTTGCTGTCCATCGCAAACACATCTGCTTCAGATTCTTCCAAGCAGTCCTCGAACCGACCTGCCCACAATATAAGCCATATTCTAGGCCACGACTGCAGCTCAGCTGTATGAGAACTGATAGTCTGACTCCTGGTCTGATGCGTCATTTATATATTTAAGAAGAAAGCGGATCTCACTGACATCCCTGAAGAGATCATTCATAGCATCACTGTTTATTTGCCTAAATGTATGTATATGGGTACTTTTCGTATTTATATACACACTGTGTTTCCATCCACCTTACTAACTTTAAAGCACCAGTGCCTATAGCAATGCTTACTTGTAAACAGTAAGGATGTAACACTGAGAGCTGTGCAAATATTGGTTGTTGATTTTCCAACAGTCAAGTTTGATGTGCAGTTGTTCCGGGGTAAGGGCCACCCTCAGTAACACATGGAGTGAGAGCATCTCTATGGGGCTTGGGAAACATGCTGCAGGTTTGGTTTTGTTTCTGTTGTGTTTACCTGAAACTACAGACAAACTTGGAAGTGGCTTGGGTTTCTCTCTTCCCTTTTGTAAAGTATCTTCAGGAGCCTCAGCACAAGTCACGGCTGTGCTAGCCAGCATTGACAGGTAAAGGCATTTGTTGGGCAGCTTTTGGCTGCCTGAAGTTTGTCACATGAATTTGACTTAAGGCTGACCTCCCCTAGCAAAAAATTCCTGTGCGTTTCCATGGTCAGCAGTTCAAAACAGGTTTAGAAAATTCAGATTTCTTCAACCTATGACTTTCTGCTTCTAGAAAGAATTTTGTTTGGATCCATTTTAACAGCGGCTTCAGTTCCTGCTGGACGTGGTCACTGTTTTAATGTAGCTCATGACTCCTGGTGTAGTCAGCAGAGACAGCAGTTGTATTTGTTGCCATTTCAGTGTTCATATGCTGCAAGTTACCTCAGGGTGGGTTTGTACCTTGTTTAGCACCTTCTTAATGTCTGTCTTTTCTTTTTACACACACATACACACACACACACACACACCCCCCCCTTTTCTTTGGCCCCTGCTCAAACACCAGCTCTCTGGTTCCTGTGAGTGACAGCCCTTTGTTGTACCAGGTAGCACGTGAGAGGAGGACTGAGCCTGTGGCATCCTGCAGAATGAGCATGGGTCCCTGGGGACACAGCTTTTACATAATGTTGCTGATAGGATCTTGCTGACGGGATTGAGCCCAAGTTAATATCAGTATTCTGCACTGGAATGCACCTTTAGTCTAAACCTGTGTGGTTGCGGCTGGCAGTGAGGAACGTGAACATGTCAAGACTGAAGTGCTGCGCACCAAGAAGATGTGATTTGAGCACTACTAGGAAGGGGGATGCTTTGGATGTGCACGAGAGATGGAGTGAATGTGTGGTTGTTGGCTGAGTCTCCAGGACTGAGACAAATTTCAGTCCTGTTTCTTCTAAAGGAAAGGGGAAAAACTAGGTAAGTTTTATTTATTTAATGGCTCTGCAGTGTGCTTTTCCTTCAAACAAGGCAGTAATATTTGTCTCTTGTGTGCTTGGAAATGCCATTCTGGCTTTGATTCTCAGATAACATAGTCACTTCAGGTTTCCTTGTATGCAGTACTCCCAGGCTGCAAAATCTGCTCTGGTGCCTCTTCTCTGGGCACAGTAAGTTTGAAACACTTGTGCTGCCCACCAGTGCACGGTCTTGCTGCTCCTGGAACCTGCCACAGGTTCTTCCCCAAAGCCTCTCCTAGTGGAGAGCAGGGATTTTTGTGGGGATTTTCTTCTTTGAGAGGCAAAGAGGAAGTTAGAGACCAGGACCCACAAAAAGGGACCTGATAAACATTTTGCCATAGCTTGACTGCCCAGCCTTTCTTTTTGCTAAGTCTTTTTGTAGTGATCCAGGGAAGCAAAGAGGCTTCAGCATGAAAATTCATTGGACTGTGTCTGTAGTTCATCTTGACAATGTCTCTGCCCTTGTGACCTGCGGTCTGATGTTTTTCTGCAGTTAATGGCTCTGATTCAAATTGGAATCACTTTTTAATTCAGATGAAGCTTATCTTAGGACACTAAAAAGTAAGCGATGCATGAGTTCTCTGTGTTTCTTAAACAGATTGACTCTTTATTTCACTTCACAGCAAGGCAGCTTGCCTAAGTTCAACTGAAAGCCAGGCCACCAAAGTGTGGTTACTGGCTAAATGGCAGCAACTGGCCTGTGCAGAGCAGAAGGGTCAGGAAGGATGCTCAGCCCTCAACTCCAAACCAAGGGAACTGCAGGTCTGGGTCTTACTTGATGAGGCTCTTGATCAGATTGATTTCCCAAGCACAGTAGATTCCAAAGGGGCTCCCTTGAAGTGAGTTCCGTAACAATCAGTGGCTCCGTGAGTTCTGGCTGATAAAGACAGGGATATTGAAGCAGCAGCTACCTTGTGCATTACATACTCTCTGGACCTTGAGGAGGGAAGCAAAACAGCCATTCTTGCACTCTTTAAATGGCATTGTGTGTGCATTGGTGTATTTGGCTTTCAGGACAAAGTAGTGAGAAAGCCCTGGCTTCCAGGACTTTATATAATCCTGCTCATCATTCCAGACATTTATGTAGCACCACATTAGTCCTGTGCTGAGAAAACTACTCTGCTTCATGATGTCTTTGAGAACTGGGGTGAGCATACACAGACCAGCTGCAACAGTTGAATGTTCATGTGTCCACAAGGCCCAATGGGATTCACCCCAGAGTACTGAAGGATGTTACTGTAGGACTCCTCTGAATCATCTGCCAAAGGTCTTGGCACTTTGGTTATGTCCCTGCTGACTGGGAGCTAGGCAGTGTTATTCCAATGTATGGCAAGGGTGTGAGAGAAGAACAACTTGGGGAACTACGGTGCTGCGAGTCTAACCTTAGTTGCTAGTAAAATTATGGAGAAGACCATACCAGGTACTATTGAAAGGCATTTAAAGAACAATGTAATCACCAAGGCAGTCACCATGGGTTCACAAAGGAAGAGTTCTGCTTAATTGGGTATCCTTGTACAATAAGGTCACCTGCCTAGTAGGTGAAGGGCAGGTGGTGAATGGAGTTTTCCTGGACTTTAATAAGGCTTTTGATGCTGTCCCTCAGTATCCTTCTGCACAAGTTGCCCAGCTGTGGGATGAGCTAGTCCATGGTGCATTGGGTGAAGAACTGGATGAAGGACAGAGCTCAAAGGGCTGTAGTGAATGGAGCTGTATCTAGCTGGTGACCGGTCACCAGTGATGTTCCTCGGGGTTCAGTTTTAGGGCCAGTTCTGTTCAATATATTTATCAATGATCTGGATGCAGGAGATGAATGCCCCATAAGCAAGGTTGCTGATGATACCAAATTGGCAGGTCCTATTGACTCTCTTGAGAGACAGAAGACCTTGCAGAGGGATCTAGCTAGGCTGGAGCACTGGGCAATGATTAATGGGATGCAGTTTAACAAGTGGAAATGCGGGATGCTGCAGCTGGGACAGTTGCACTGGGCACAAGTACAGACAGAGAGGGGTGGCTGGAAGCAGCCCTGCAGGAAGGGCCTGGGAGTTCTGGTTGGGAGCAGCTCAGTAGGAGCCAGTGGGGTGCCCAGGCAGCCCACAGGGCAAACCCTATCCTGGTGCATCAAACGCAGCACAGGCAGAGGTCAAGAGAGGTGCTTGTCCCGCTGTTTTCAGTGTTGGTGCGGCCTCACCTTGAGTGCTGGGTGTGGTTCTGCACCCCACCGTGTAAGAAGGACGTGAAGGTCCTTGAATGGATCCAGAGGGTTGCACCAAAGCTGGTGACAGGGCTGGAAGGCAAGGCCTGTGAGGAGGGCTGAGTGCTTTGGGCTTGTCTGGTTTGCAGAGAAGGAGGTTGAGGTGCAGCCTCATCACACTACAGCTGCCTGAGGAGGGGAGGTGGATTAGAAGGTGCTGAGCTCTTCCATTGGCTATCCAGTGATAGAATATGTGGGAAGGGTTCAGACCTGTACATTGGACATTAGGAGGCATTTCTTCACTGCATTGTGGTGGTCAGACACTGGAACAGGCTTCCTAGAGCAGTGGTCAATGTCCCAAGCCTGTCAGTGTTCAAGAGGCATTTGGACAATGCCCTTACAACATGCTTTTAAGTTCTGGTCAGCCCAGAATAGGTCAGGCAGTTGGACTAGGTGAGCATTGGAGGGCCCTTCCAACTGAAATAGTCTAGTCTATACTGTATATTTATTGTTTCATATTAATTTCGTTATTCATTTCGTTGGTGTTACAGAGAGGTCAAATGTGATCCTGAGTGTTCAGCTGGGATTCAGCTTGGTTGGTTTTCTGTTAATGCTGTACATCATTTCCTGAAGAGGCAGTAGCTGTGTCAGTCACTTTCATGAGCCTCTTCTCTGTACAGAAAGACAGCCAAAAAGAGTGCCCTTATTCCCAGGGTGCCTGTAGTGCAGGTAATCACAGCACAGGCACTGCAGCGATACAGAGACTATCAGGATTCAGCAGGAACTGCACCGTTTTGTGGTATGTGCCTCTACAGTAATGCCCATCAGTCTTCTCTAGAGGATTGGACCTCACGTTGCTGTGACAGGGCATGGTGATTCCTGTGGCATCACCACGCCACTCTGTCTTCCTTCCCAGGGTTTCCTCTGCAACCTGCTGAGGCTAGAATGGAGAAATACCATTTCCTTACCCTCCTTCAATTGCTACTGAAGTTCAACCACACACCAGTGTGAGTCTTTCTGTGTACCATAATTGATGCTGAATGATCCTCTGGTGTTGATGTGGAGTCAGGAATACTGCTTTGAGAAGAAAGGTGGGCTTTGAGAGCCTCATGTGAACAAATTGTCTGAACTCGGTTCTTTACAGTGATGACTGGCTCTTAGATCAATTTAATTAAAGACAAACAGGTTCTGTTGTGCAGGCTTTTGGTCTAACTGACTATCCAAGATGGTCTTTGAATGCTTAATCTGGCTAGGTCCCCTGAGCAACTCACTGGTTTGCCACAGATTTCAGCTTCTCACACGCTGATATAGTTACATGCCTTTAGGAGGAACAGTGGGTATTTCACATCAAAAGAGAAGAAATTAGGTGTTAAGTAATTCTGATTAGTTTTTCATTATGAAATTGGTTTTGGTTTTCCTCTTTACCATAAACTAACCAGTCCCGTTTCACACTGACCAGGCCTCTTGCATTTAGTTTGTAGGTCCGTGTTTCTGCTTCCAACTCTTGGCCCTTTCCCAGGTCTTTGGGCTCTGCTCTTGGGAAGAAGAACAGTGGGAACACCTTTACCATTGAATGGAAACTCTTCGTCTTTTTCCTTCTTTTTTTTCTGTCCTTTTTCCTTTCCCCTACCCCTGAAGCTGTTGTGTTTTGGTACTGGGTTGTTATGATGTTAAGGAACGTTCACCTTCCCTTCATCTATGCCAGGAGAAGGGGTGAAGTTCACCAACAGATGCATTTTCTTCAGCAAAAATCTATGATGCCAACCTGGCAATTAACAGTCCCTTTGTCTTTCAAGGTATATTTG